ATGGAAATTATACGGTGGCGCCGCTGCAAAGATCCTTGATTGGAACCGATATATAGGTTTAGGGATCCAATTGGCTAGAAATAATATATAGGGACTAAATTGACGGAAAAAAAAAGTTTAGGGACTAAATTGGCGATTTTCCCTTTATTTTCCCGTCATAGATCTTTTGTTAGTATTACGTTACCGCCAAATGCCAACTGTCTATGTAGAGGTAGAGGTGAACTCTTTTGTTTTGTTTTTCTTTTTCCCCCTCTTTTTTTCCTTCCCTTAAATTAGTTTGTGGTTAAAAGATTTTTTTTTTTTGGCAAAGGGAAATTCCACTTCTTAGCATATTTCTATTGGAAGAATGTTATAATTTAGAGTTCAAAACTGGCATTGAAATTTTGAAATTATATTTAGATTTGTTTTACAAATATCCAACAAAACTTATTTTATGCACATGATGGAAGTTTATTTACCTTTAATTGGAGGTACAAATTAAATCATGCTTGAGTCAAATATGGAGAAAGCTTTTTTTTTTTTTATGTTTTAACTCTCGTCTTCGGTCGCTCGGGGCAATTTAGTGGAGCATCAACTTCTATTTTAAATGATCATTATCTAGAGTATTAGGGACTAAACATCGATAAGCATAACATATGTACAAAAACAAATAGAGAGAGAGAGAGAGAGAGAGAGAGAGGGCGCCTTGGCAATTCTTATCCTCAATTTTGGGAAGACACATAAATATCGTAGAATAAGGTCACGATCAATAGGAATTATTCCTACAAAGTTGTTAAATAATACGGGGATCAATTGTATGTTTAAAAAATGAATTAAACTACTCGACACTCGAATCAAGTTTTGTTTAATAAAAGTTCGTTTGAATTTGGTTCACTAACTAATTTGCACAGTTTTTTGTTCTCAATGACTTTCAAATACAATGAAAAAAAAATCTCGTTCAAATTTGATTGAACAACAAAATAAGCCAAGATTGAATAAAATTTGAAATTCGATAAAAGAATCAAACAAGTTTAAACACTAGACTGCTTGATTTGATTAGACTTATTTACATCCCTAATCAAATGCATCAAACTATGAAAGTATCAATCGGCAAATACTTGGAGAAAAAAAAAAGACGGATTAACCAAGAAGTTGGGGTTAAATGTCTTATAACCGTTGCGGGTCAATCTTCTTTGGGACATCCGTAGATGCTATTTTCAGGAGTCTCGACCCTGTTTAGAGGACCACAACAAAAGATCCAAAGTCGCTCATGGCCTGGATTCTTCGGCGTTGGAATCTTTGTTTTCTTTTTTTTTTTTTTTGTTGGGTTCCACAGCAGAACAAAAACTATTCCGTAAGTTTATTGGACCAATATTTATGGGCCGGACCTTAAGACGGGCCTAATCCCACGTGGTCCAGGGCATTGTAATTAACATTGAAATCCTCAAAACCCAACTTATACTAATTGATAGGAACATTAATCAAGTGATTATGAGGTTTTTTATTTGGCTCTCAAATCCACTCTTCTCCATCCGTGTGCAATAAAGAGATGCATAATATTTATGGTAAATACATTTTCTATGAATTTTTATTGCTAAATCAAATTTTGATCTCTTAAATTTCTTTCCCATGGTAATCATTGTAATGCTTAGTATTAGTTATTGAAAGTAAATAGTTAAAGCAAAACATGTTTTCAAGATAAATAACTATAAACATGCGTTTGTTTCTATAAGGGTAAAATTGAAAGTTCAGAAAGTGATTAAATAATGTTTAAGCAAAAATCCCACTCCTCTCCCTTTATACTCACTTGCTATGCAACCATTCCATAGAATAACACAGAATCGCAACCTTAATTATCATAGTGCTGAAATTAACGAAAAAATCAATCACCACTCATCACCTAAGTATTTACTTAAATCACTCGCCACTAGCCATGTAAGCATTTATCATTATGTAGTATCGAATTTACCCTTACCAATTCTTCAAAAAAAAAAAAAAAAAAAAAAACCCCCCTTATCAAGTATCGATTTTACACTTTTAAATACTCCATTCCTAGATTTCAGAATTAATTCGAACTTCAAGATGAGTAAGACCGATGAGATCTTGCTCTTATGGTTAAGGTTGAGATCTCAATATATAATCAGAGATTTTAGGATCATATTTTCTTTTTCCCTAGCTCATTGCTTCTTAAATCCCATTATTTTCCTAGTTAACAAAAAAAAAAAAAAAAAAAAAAAAGATGAGAAAGACGGGCAAAAGTAAGGAAACCATATGGAGAAGCCTTTTGTTTATGGATAGAAAGTAGGAACATGTTACATCAAAACTCCATAGAAGGGAAACTGCTGCATGCGTATGGGGGAGCTGATTAAGACAAGGGAAAGCAAAGCAAAACCAGCAAAGTGGAAAATACAAATGAGGAGTCAATGAAGTGGAAGCCCACTTAAATAGAAGGAACATTGGAGATAAGATAATGCATGCACGAGGGCTGTGAGGGCAGGTCCGGGCGAGAGAAAGAGAAGTGACAGATAAAACAATTTTTGTGAAGGATTACGGGTGAGGACCGCTCTTGCAAGGTAGGTTTCAACGAACATGTTTGAATTGTGATAATTCCCCATCTTGCTCCGGATGGATAGTAGCCATCATGCTGCTCTTTGATTTTGTAGGTTTTAACGAACATGTTTGAATTGTGATAATTCCCCGGCCCATATTGCTCCAGTACTAGCCATCATGTTGCTCTTTGATTTTGCAGAGGCGACAAAGGGATTGGCTCTTGAATGAATCTGAGGGTCATCCATGAATAAGTTCTTCCTTCTTCCTTGCACTTGCATTTAACTTTGTAGATACCGGTCCCTACAACTACAAGTGCTGAAAAAGGAATGGCTACAATATATACCAATTACCAGGTGATGATACCAAAACCAAAATAGCTACCCTGTTGTCCACAAACTAAGAAGTATGTGCATGCACAGGAGTACTTGAGGGATCACGTACGTGTAGTATTTGGAGTAATGCTTCTATAATTACAAGTGTATAGAAGATATTCTCTTAATTAGTACGTAGGAACTAGCTAGGTCGATTTTAAAATCATGGAGACTGACCTGTTTACTTTTCCCATATATAGGTCCACACCACACTTGTGTGTAACATTAACTGCCCATACAAGATATATATATATATATATATATATATATATATATATGATTCATCTTTCCTACACTGATAATGTATACAATGTCAGCGTTGAATGAATGGCAAATATGAATAATTTGAATTTAAAATTCAACTTTTGCATATATATTATAGATCTAACGGTGACAGTGTATATATAAGATTTACTCATATATATATATATTGTTTTCCTAACTAATATTTTATCTCATGCAATGGACATATATAGTAACTAGCAAATGCCATTTCTCATCCTGTAATCGTTTAATAAATAAATAATGGATGATGAAAGGGTTGCAAAATTTGTTTTTTTGTTTTGAATTTCGACCCACAACAACAATGGATTTTGTTAGATACATGATGACTGACAGGACGACAATGCATGAGAGAAAAGCAGAAGAGGATGGCCGGAAGGATTGAATGGTTAACATCTTAATTTGGTGAGTGGGGAGTGAAGATAATAGTGTATGAATGGGATGAGGAAGCAAACCGGACCGGAGGTGTCTTGGCATGGCCAGGCAACCATGGACAGGGATGATGGGGTGAGGCCCAGGGCTTTGGCGTTCAAAAGATGGCGACTTTCCAGTCTCCACAGCTTCACGTCAATATTGGCCGGCCCCATTTCTCGGCATGAGAGGGTGATTTGTTGGTTGGCCAGGGTTCTCATCACCGACGCCATCTGTCCTTTCTTTTTGCAATCTTCAATCTTTTGGTCTGCTGTGCTTAGCAGTTTAGCTCCTGGGCTCCCATGGCCGTGGCTGGTGGTGCTCCTGGTTTCAATCCCAGCACCCTATTATCGCCTTTCATATATATATATATACAAGAATTTGGCACTATATGATTGTCAATTATATATATGGACGCAACGGATTCTATCACGCTGCTTTCTTAATTTCGCTAGTATAAATGATGCTAGTATAAGATTAGAATAATTTGAGAATACCTATAGTTTTAAAAATTAACCAAGAGCAAACGAACATACACATGATTTTTCAATAGAATATTATAAGAGTACACCCCCAAACCCAAAAAAAAAAAAAAAAAAAAAACTCTCTCGAGCTTTTCTGAATCCCTATGTTTGTGTAATTTTAGGGTCGGAGTTTTTTTATGTGCATATAAAAATTTTTGCACATAATTAGTAGTAGTTTAGATGTTTGATCTTACAATTAGGCACACAAAGTGCAGTTTGCTCCTAGGTCGAGGGTGTAAACAAATTGGAGCAGAGTGTAAATAAGTTTAGATATATAGGATGCAAACAAATTTAAAATAACTATTTTTATCTAAAAATAGTTTTAAAATGAACCACGAGCCCCTTGATCCAAAAAATAGATGGGATGGGTCCATTATGAATTCCAATTACTTGTAAAAAAAAAAAAAAAAAAAACAACAATAAATTTTTAAATGGTATATAACGAACGCTCGTTAGTGTGTCTGATTTCTACCCATATACATACATACACTAGCATTTATTTACCCTCGTTATTTTACTACTTCTCTAACTTAGTCCATAGCGTTAACAGTATAGATTTAATGAAATTATTATGATATTTTTATTAAAAAAAATATTTATCATGAACACCATCGATCGGATGATCCTCACAAAAAAAAAATTAAAAGGAAAAAGGAAAAGAAAAGAAGCTTCTTGGAATTTCAAAAAAAAAAAAAGAAGTAAAAATGCACTAAAAACCAATTATAGGACGTGAGACGCATGCATTAATGCAACTTGCCTGTCCCTAGTGCAATCATATGCAGCCCCTCTTTATAATAATAATTAAAAAAAAATGCAGCAGCCTCCTTCCCCTGCTAGTCTAACGGTCAAAGACGCACCTTACGTTCCACGTCATGCCATCGTCTTCCCTCAATGTACAAGGACACATCAGTCACCACCTGTCAGATTACCATCCCTTCCACCATACAACTTAGCTCGTACTCCAATTTAGCTTTATATATCCATCCCTACATTTTACAGTTTCACACTCAACCCCCCGAGCCCGAAGAAGCTTCTTCATCTCTGTCTCTTTGGCACAGATCATATATATTACGTGCGTTAGAGAAGTGTATAGTATAAATACTAGACTAATCTGGTCCGGCTTCTTGCTTTCTTGCTCTGAGTTTTCTTAATGGGTTTTCCGGTGGGTTATACAGAAGTTTTCTTGCCAAAAATCTTCATACAGGCACTTTCCATTCTGGGTTTTATCCGGAGTGTCCTTTTCTCTATTTTTAGGTTTCTGGGTCTCTCAGATTTTCTTGAACCAGCTGAGGGGTATTATTTTCAAGAAAACCCGGCCCAGATGCCCCTTACCCCGCCCATATCCGCTATCCTGATCCGGGAACTCCTGCCCGTGGTAAAGTTCTCGGATTTGGTGGCCGGTGCCGGAGGCGAGCCGCCGGAGGAGAGTTGTGCGGTGTGCTTGTATGAGTTCAAAGGTGGAGAAGAAATCAGGTGGTTGAAGAACTGTAAGCACATTTTCCATCGGAGCTGCCTGGACCGTTGGATGGACCACGATCAGAAGACCTGTCCACTTTGTAGGACTCCTTTTGTGCCACGTGATTTGGAAGACGAATTCAATCAACGGCTCTGGGCCGCCTCCGCCTTCGGTAGTACTAGTACTCATGATTTTTACGATGATGATTACGATGACAATCCTACTACTATTCCTGCCTTGTAATTTGAGGCGGCTGCTGCTGCTGTCTCTCTGTGTTGTTTTCCCTTTCGAGACAAATACATTTTTGTATATATGAAGGAAAAGCTTTTCCAATTTCTTTTTTTTTTTAAAATACTTATATGTACTTACAAGTTAGTATACGCTTTTTTGTTCTCCTTTTATAACAGTAGTGCTAATACTAGCCTTCAGCGAAATCATTTCTGCTGACGACTATTAGACACATATCATATTCATATACCCCCCACTAGGCCACTACTTCTCAAAGGAAAGGAATATTTCACTGGGGTGTTTGGCTCTAACAATTTGCATTTTTTCATTCAAAAAAAATTATAACGTTTTTTTTGATCATATTTTTTTTAATCAATTTTTTACCTTGCATCGGTATGCTACACGGGGATTAATATTACTTACACTACAGTGTAGCGTTTGATGAATGATAATTATTCAAAATTTGTATAGTTATCATTCATTTAACGGTGATAATGTATGCGTTGTTAGTATATATAAGATTTATTCGGTACATTATCTATGAAACTTTCAAAAATAGCAATTCAAATGGATTCAAGACTGTGGGTACGTAAGTGTCATTTGGCAAATGATTAAATGAGGACGGAGTCCTGCAGTATGCTTGGAAAGATTGAGTAAAGTATCCAATTCATGAACTATTACACCCTCCGAGAAGATAAAAAAAAAAAAAAAAAGATTCAACTTTGCTTGAAAAGCGCATTAATAAATATTCAGGAAATTATGATGTTGGTGTTTCTGCGGTGGTTGAGATCTTTATCTTCTTTTCAGTTTGGGGGTTGTAGGTAGTTGAAGATTTAACTGGCCAATAATTGAAATGTGGGGGAGGATAATAATAATAATAATAATAATAAAAAGTACTGATCCACGACATGCCAATCTGAGCCGAGTTCCTATTAATTTACCCACGAGGGAAGATGGAGATTTGAAGTAAGACCAACCATTGACTGTTTGTATTGGCTAACTTTTTGTTGTGTTGGATGTTATTATCGAACATATGAAAAACAATATGCCGCCACCAAATTCACTGAACCTGGTTTGCCGCCCCATTGATTGAACATATGAACTAGATCCTGTCCTAACGCATTGCAGTGGTAAGAGTAGGACTAAATCTTTCTATTGTTCTTTTCCCTATTTTCTGCCTCTATTTGTGTATCAGCGGCTGTGCTTCAAACAACCGTTGCCCTACATGTATTGTTACCATTGGTAGGCAATCAATTATTTTTCACTTCCAAAGACAATATATATCAATCAATTCGTCATCTTGTGTCAACCAAACAGTGAGATGCTTAAGCGGAACCCTGCGTCTATGTACGTCCAAACACCACAAATTCAGGTGACAATAACTCCAAAGTTTACTAGAACTCCAATGAAATAAAAAGGGCAGCAATCGATAGGACTGCAATAGTGCAGTAACTGTCATGTTTCTAATAATTTCTTCTTTTCGTTCTTTTTTTTTTTTTTTTTGGGGATCTTCAGTTTATAGAGCTGAAGCTTTGGTTTTTTTTTGGGGGAGACAAAGATACATTAATGCAAATGTGGGGAAATGCATGTTTCTTGATCAATATTAAATTGGGGTCTGTGCTTGATCAATCTCTATCTCAGGAACTGCAACTGAGTACTTTCTCTGCCTTCTTTTATTTGGGTGCGTGAATTTGGGGTATGTCGAGGAGCTTAATCGGAAATATCGTCAGCTTTCTTCCTACCAAACGTCAAGGTCACAGTAGAAAGATTCCAAGAGGTTCCACCACCCCTGTCTAAGAATCAGATCTGCCCACAGATTGGTCCCACCGATTGTTACCACTGTATAATAGTATAAGAATTTATTTTTAAGCATTGTGGTTTTTACCATCTTTCTTGTGTTCGCTAGAGATCTGTTCTGTCGGCAGAAGATCAAATTTTCTCAATGATAGTCAGATGCAAGCAAGCACTAAATAATAGAGTATTGTAATTATACCACCATTCGGTACTTTTTTTGGCTGGGAGAGCTACATGAAAGTTAACGAACCAAATTAAACATTCACAATTGCAAGCAATATTCTCTAGAGCACCTGCAGAAAACAACCAAAAAGGAAAATGGCTAGTGGTAGACCTTGACCCGTAAAACATCATGTCAAGCAAACCACTAATCTAAGAATGTGAAAAGGCACCAACTTGCTAGTCGAATGCCTATTTAGTGGCGAAGTTTAAAAAGCAGCAGGATTCTATTATTCGCCTGGAAAGGAGGAGGAAACAGATACGGCGCTGGAGCAAAGTTGGTTAATAGACAAAGTCTGAGGATGCAAACTACAAAGAATCAACTGTCAACGGCTGCAAAATTAGCTGACAGGATCAAATAACCATAGGCACGGTATAGAAAACACAGCTCATGAAGTATAGACAGAAGGAAAGATATGGTATAAATTGATTGTTGATATACTTGGTCATCCAGTAAGGCTTTAAGAGCCAGTTTTCCTGGATCTTACTACCCATATTACCGTCTCAAGTTTTCGATTTACCGTTTACACACGATGACTTGGAGGCGGATGAGCAGCACCAGCAGGGGAATGGCTCTGTTCTGGTGGAGCTTGGGGATGTTCATGAGATTGTACTGGAGGAGAAGGGCCTTGAGCCTGTGAAGGTGAGATTTCTGAAGAAGGGGTCGTGGCTTGGGCTTGTTGAGGGGGCTGAGTGTATCCCTCGGTGTGCGAAACAGGGGAAGAGCCTTGGTTTTGTGGAGGTGGTGGAGGGTATACATGGGATTGTAAATCAGGGGGGGAGCCTGGGGCTTGTTGAGGTGGGGGGGAATATCCATAAGGCTGAGGTGGGAAATACCCATAGGGCTGTGGCGGTGGGTAATAGCCTTGGGTAGGTGGAGGATATCCATGGAAATGTGGAGGCGGTGGGTAGTAATTATAATGTGGAGGTGGGTAAGCGCCCTGAGGTTGCTGATGTGGTGGGTAGCTGTAGGCTGGTGGAGGCAGATATCCAACTGAAGGGGGTAAAGAATGATCTATACGGGACATTTGTTGAACAGGAGGCACTGCCATTGTTGCTGCTGCTGCCGATCCAAACTTGCCATCTCTTTTATCCATCTCAGTTTTGTGCTGAGTCTGCACGACAAACTTAGATTAATTTTATAACAAATGCAAAGTGATATCCTTTCGAAAGAAAGAACATGTGAAAAGTTAAAATGAGGCAAGTATCAAAAGACAACAATTGTGAAACAAGCACTTTATGCTGTACCACAATGCCAATTTCAAAGACTAGAGCATCTCATGTATACCTGCATACAGGGGCAAACCCTGACATGAAAAGACAGAGAGAATTAGCAAATGATTTAAAGATTAGCTGAAGTACGCAGCAATGGATAATGAGAAAAAAAATACACCAGTATCATACGAGCAATAAACCATGTCAGCCAGACAGTTCAACATCTGAGCAGCATCTTCAATTTCCTCACTTCCGACAATGCAAGCGATGAGGGAACATATGCAGGCTAGCTGCTGTAAGCAGAACATGAATCCCTAGAATTGAAAATGAAATTTAGTGTAATTATTCCAGGGAAAAAGAAGTGAGTACTAGCAGAGACACAGGGAACCACTAAAAAAAGAGTAAGCAAGTGTACAATGATGCAATTATCACATTTGGTTGTCTGTATATCGAATTCATCTTGTAGCATGAAGCGTGTTGAGGCAACTGAATTCGCAAAGCAAAGAGAAACCTGGAAAAAGGAAAGAAATCACATTTAGAAATAACTATGTCTAGATAGGAGAAGATGGAGATATTGAATGGATACTAGATGTTTAACTGACAAAATAATGTATCAAGGAACAATCTTAATAATAAATCATATCAGAGTCACCTCAGTGCATAGACAAAATTCCGGGCATGTACTTTCTCCGCAATGACCACTGCAAGGCATATAGCCTCCACAGCATGTATACCTGTAAGAAAGGATATCACAAAAGCCATCACAATATCATCCTTCACTTCCTTTCTCTAGATTGTAAGAAACAAATTTTATGGAACATAACAAACCTCGACATATCATTGTAAAGAGCTCGCTTGCGCAGCATGTATGATGCACATGGACCACTAGAATGTAACAAAGAAAAGTTATTAGTGGAAACTAGATACAAAGAATTGCACATGGGAACAAAGCATTGAAAAAAATAATAAATTATCTTAAAAGCGTAGCAGTAATTCAGGCCCCAACCAGTCAATGCAAAATCTTTATTGTCAAGTGTTCCACATCAAACACAGCTTAAACATCAGACTGACCATTAAATTGGATTGCAGAGAATCCTGTATCCTGGCCATCAAATTAAATAGATACTAAGAGAGTAACACGAGGTATATTATGGAAATTATCATGTATCATGAAGCCTGCCTGCCAAATAAGTGCATCGGAGGCCCAGAATTTCAGACACTTGACCAGTAACAGTTTTGTTTTGATTATCCTATTATGATGCAGTTCTCATTTTAGTATTCCAATTCTCCTAGTAGTTTATTCAGCAATTCAAATCCCAGAGGATCTTGACTGAGGGAATATAATCCTTCACTGGATGGGCGATGAGCAATTGACATTCATAACAAGTTAATTAACGCCGGAAGCCATTTTTTGTGATAAGATCTGGTCAAAATGGAAGAGAAACAGAAGCAGAAAAACCATTACTTAAGCTTAAGGGAGGCTAAAACTCAAAGAAAATAGGAACAAGGCCTAAAAAGGACAAAATGTTATTTGAACTCATTCCAGCGGCAAAGCCTTTCACTTCAGGTGCGTGAGTAAGATTAATTGCTTTTACTTATCACATAAATCAGCACATAGGGCAGTCATCCTCATCCAAAGCCAAAAAAAAGAGAAGGAAATCACCATATTGACATTATTGGATTAGCAGCTGCCACAAACTCTTACTCAGAAACACAATTGCTCAATGTAGTGTACCACAGAGCTTATCTTTCCCCCTTAAATTATAAAAAGGAGAGAATTTCTGTATGTAAGTACAATGTTAAAATCGTGTATGCAACAGATTAATCACTGCTACAATGTTCAGCTTTTGAATTGATTTGTAATTGACCTCATAGGAGTTGAGCCCTCACATTGTTATCCTTGGCTGAACAAATTTGGCATAAGCTCAATTACAATTTCATTCTCAAGCTCAATCTCGTCTTGAAGTTTTATTTAACAAGCTTGAGCTTAGTTTATATGCTTTGACCTTCACATCCCTATCTCCCTTTTTTCTTTTTTTTTTAAAATTTCATATTATCTGCCCCATTAACACTTAACTGGAGAAAGTATAATATAACCCACAGTGCATGTTGATGATATTTTTGTCATGTTGCATACAGATCAATTAGATGCATAATATACATAGCCGAGTTCATGCACTGAAAGATTATCTGAACATCAAGTTTGAGAAATTTTGAGTTAGCTATTATAGCTCTTGTTCTAGCTCAGGAAGTTTAACAACCCTCAATCTTCAAATCCAGCTCAGTTGTCATCAAGCTCAACTGAACCTGACCAAAGTTATGTGTCAATTATAAAATCACTTCTGTTTACAAGACTCTCTTGAAACCATGCATCCGTGTCCCTGAGGCCACAGATTCTAGTTCTTAAATTCTTTAAGTGACAATGAGGACATCATCTATCAGGACAAAGTTAATGATTTTGTATGCCACTTTCCAACAATGCATTCACTTTCTCAAGTCTAGCAGCTTAGACATCTGCCAGGTCTAAATGCTAAGGCATTAACAGACTTAACCAATATCTAGAAAATGGTAAAACAAAAGACAGATTTCAAGAATCCACTTCTATGTTTGACATGATATACCTTACACATCTAGAAGTTTATGGCATGCCTTGGATGGATAAAGTACTATTTGTATAGCTTGAGAACTTCATGGGAGTTGGTAATAGTTCTTAATTGCTATTCTAACCTCCATCTTAGAAACTATGAGAGTATTTACATTTTCAAACTACAATTAATGATAAATTATGAGGAAAAACAGCTTATCCTACAGCAGACAAAATTTACCAACCTATGAAAAGATTGTATTCTATGTGCTTGAAATATTCAGTTTGGCATGGCTTATTTATACTACTACCAGATGCTGAAGACAGATGTAGCCGTCTTAACAACATGTATAAATCCTCGAGGATGAATGTATCAGGGGGAGGGATAGGCACCAGAAGCATTGAAAATTTTATTTTTGCGCCCTTAACTTATAAAAGCCTCCATACTCTTATCCCAAGTCTTTGCTATTATTTCTATTACACATGACACAGTATTTACACAATCATTTTCATTTGATTCCAATAAATGCTCATCCAGTTACATACTTCCCTTTTGTTAAAATGTCTTTCCACCAATCACTGTTCCACTTCTGTATTTTGGTCTAGACAAAGTACAGCAGATACATAAGAATGCATGTTATCTCCTTTCAACGACACATGAAGCAGTTAGATCCACTTGCAGCGAAGTTCTGAACTTGAAATTCCAATTTGTGTATGAAAGAAAAAACTAAAAAATAAGAATATTGTTTTTTAGAACTAAAGTCTGAAATTTAGAGTGATTGAATTATCACACTCAGTGCCCGAGTATCTTGAAAAGCTAAGCCAGCTTCACAAGCTAGGCGCTAAGTTGTTCCAGTCAATACACTGTTATCACAGCCATTTACATCTTACAGAATCATATCACTGCACCCAATATCGGCACAGACAAGAAATGAGAAACCGAGAACGGAAAACTCTCATGGTTACTGAAGACCTAAGGAATGAGATAATGATCGTCCGATCTATAGCTTCATACTAGAAAATCACCTTCTCGTTTAAATTCTAATTCAAGCTGTCACTATTGCTAAATCTTAAATTCGTGAAGTCTTCTGTGCAATCCAATATTCAGTGTCAAATGTCATGAGAAAAAAAATTTGAGATTTTCCGCCTACATTTATTTCCTTGTTAAAAGGCAAGAATTCAAGATTCAATCCACATTTCCTTTACTTTTCCATCCTTTACTACCTCGCAGAACAACAAATGAAAACGAAAATGCAAGACGTAAAAGTTTTCTATTTTTCAAGACATTTCTAACCAAAACATTCATCACATTGACCAGCGATAATAAACAAATAACAATAACCAAAAAAAAAAAAATTTATAACACTCCAGTAAGCATGGATCGAAGAACTAGAGAATTTTGGAACTCACCAGAAGAACGCGAAACAGCAAACTGCAAAAGATTAACACATGTATCAGAAAGTCAGCCGTTCGGAGATAAACCAAAACGACGAGGTTTTACGTCGAGAACGAAACAATGCAAGTCCGGAAGAGAAATTAAACACCATAAGAATGCGATGAAAATACAGAGAGAAAATTCGAACGTACAAACAGGATCTGCCGCAGTGGCGTTCAAGAGATCGGTGTGCCAATGGTTCCGATACTGCTGACGCATCTCCATTTTCTCCATCTTCGCCTGCATCGCCATTTTCTTCTTCTTCTCCCTCCTTGTCCTCGTCCTCGTCCTCGTCCTCGAAGATTTAGGCACGTCTAGCGAATTGGCTTCCTCTTCCTTCTAGTTCTGGCTAGATACTGTACATCATAGAAGGAAAACGACGAACAAGGACAACTTCATTGGGTAAGAGGACTTGAGGAGGGGTATATATATGTATAGGTTCTAGTGTGGGTCCCAGTGGTCAAATAAAACCGGCGAAATTAAGAAGCTGTATTTAGTATTTACTAGTAATAGTTTAAAAAATCTTAACGACTTTTGGTGTTAAGTTTAATGGTTTATGGCAAGCAAGCGGGGCAGCACGGTTTAGACGGGGAACTGGTGGTGGGACCAATTGATTATGTTTATGGCCCCCACCGATGGATGAGGAGACAAGCGCGAATTCAAAGGCATTTTCTTTTTCTTTTTCCTTTTTTTTTAAAAAAATTTTTTACTCGGATTGCCCAGAAGGTGCTACAGCGTTAAGCCGCCACATTCCGCATTTTGTCACGTGACCGGCTTCGGAAATATGTGACGTCAAATAAATTAGTACTACTACTACCACAGCTGCGCTGCTGTAAAATTGTTTGGAATAACCATCTTGAACGTTCGCCAACTTTTTCATTGGGTAACTAATAAGTACTACAAAGAAGATATGTACATGGGATTAACCGACGAGTAAGTACTACTAACTTGACTTTCTTTTACAATTTTGGAAATTGAAAAACCATTATGTATATTTTGCCCCAACTTTAGTGTCTATTTGGATTTTGCACGCGAGATTTATCGTTGATACTTCATACTCTGAAAGTTACTGTAAAAGATTATTTGAATATTTTTCATAACTTTAAGCGGCCAACTATTCAAAGTAAATACCATGGATGCAAATTGATGACAAGAAAATGTGCAATGTGATATTATGTGTTATGATAGCAAACTAGTACTGTCATATTTTGGAGTCCCCCTCTAATGAAAAATAATAACTAGAACGAAAGTCCTGTATACTTATATATATGGGGTATCGATTCTACTTTGAAATCAAGTTGTATTATTAGTAAAATGGTTGCTATGTTAATCTCCCATCTTTTGGTACCTCATATCTGAACTTAAAACCTTTGCTACGTACTCGATGTGTTAAGTTCTGATAATTGATATAAATGGACAAAAGCCTAATAAAGTGATTGAAAATCTGTCAAATGTCTTATACTTAATTAGTGAAATCCAAAACATATGGCGCTAAATTGTTATTTTGCAAACTCGAGGGACTACAAATATCAAAATTGAAACTGTAAGGACTATATTAGTTTTTTCTAAAACTTGAGCGATCGAATTGGCCTACATCAAATTGATATGGAACTAAAATGCTTAATCCCTTTAATAATTCTTATCGAGACCTATCTATATGCATCTTATATATGTCACATTATTTGTTTACGTTATATATGTAACATTAGGGAGCAAATATATATATATATATATAATTATTAAAGGGCCAAAAGTACATAAACATAAAAAGTTTAAGGGCCGCACAAGTTTTTTGCCCTACATTAATTAATGGAAAGTATTGTCCTCGTATAAAGCTTCAAGGACTCCATCTTGTGAAAGTCTTGTTCTTCTCCTGGACATGATTTCTCGCACAATCAAAAAGTTGTTTTGCCTATTTAAGCCATGTTGTTTTAGGTTTACTGTGTTAATTTGGGTGCTGCCTTTCTTGATCTTCCAAATCCCGTTTCTCTATGAAGTGTTCCTAACGATTTTTAAACATAAACTTTTACTATTTCCTTTTAATTCAATAGATTGGTTGTATGACATGAATTTTTCCCTTTTCCCTTTTTTAGGTGCTTCTTTACATTATAATCTTCCAAATTTAAAATATAGAAAGTGTAATAAATTGCCTCGATTTGATAATCTATGACTGCCACGTGTCTTTAGTTTGTCAATTTAGAGTAGCTATATAGATTATGCAACCTAAGGTACATTGATATGAAGTGCCCAAAAAAGATGGCTTTCAAGTAGAATAACCCTTGTCGGAGGCTTTGGCCCTTGTCGGGGTTTCAATCCCACATTGGTACTGGGGGGTGTGGGTTTGGGTAGATAAGTCCCTGGACGTCTTCAAAAGTTGTCGGCTTTTGAAGGTTGCTTGGAGATCTAGGTTTATTTACCGAAATTCTTACTTTCGTAAGAAAATGTAAGGAAGTAGAATAACCATTTTTCTTGCATTTATGTCGTACATTCTTGTGAAATATAAATATGTATGGTTGCATATGTTGTTCCAGATTGGCCATTCACTACATTAAAAGATAACTCAAAAGTGGAGGGTCACTTTGTAAAAGAGAAGTATGAAATGATTCAGAAAAAAAAAAGTATTGAAATTAAAAGTCGAGAAAAGTACAAAATTAGCAAGCGAGTCAATTCGGATGTATATAAAGGCAAAAGTTATCTTATACATCCTTAATTTGTAGGTTTTTCTGTGTTTTAAGAGCGGGATATGATGTTTTAACGTGCTATATGCTTAATAAGAGCAAGCATTGAAAGTACGTTTTAATTATTTTGAAGGGAGAGAAGCGTGCACTTTTCTTCTTCTTTTTTTTTTTGTAAGAGAAAAGGATACAAAATTCTGGTGCTAAAACTTTTAAGAAAAAGAGGGTAGCTTTTCAATTTTCAATTGTAATTAGTTTAAAGAAATTATCTTTAGCTACAAATTCGAATAGAACCTAAGTGGTTCTTAATGCGTACTTAAATTTGATGATAGAAGGATAGAGTAAGGTAAAAAGTCATATGCCAGGACATAACATACCTGACAAATTTATTTTCCAAAAATCACATTATTGTCATTGGACAATATATTGGCAAGATTTCATCATACACTCAACAGATCAAACATAAATATTTCCACAACCTAGTGATATTATTTACAGAACAGCCCAATTTTTTTTTTTTTTTGTTTGTTAAGGTTTACCTCTTAAAGGATTTGAAATCAAGATTAAGTTTTCTAAATCGAATTTCAATTTTAATGATTAAAAAAAAATCAGGGATACGGCATAATTGAAAAAAAAAGAAATATTTCCAAAGCCCACAATCCAGTCCACGTAACATGTACCGCAAAGATACTTCCGTTGGAACTAACTTTGACCTGTCTTCTGTCTTCCATCTCAGCTTCCCACGAAGCCTCTGCAAATACTAAAAAATGCAGGGATGTAACTCTAAAGTAAGAGAAAATATCAAACAGATAAAGGACCCAAAAATCAATTCCAAATTAATCTCTCCTCCCACATCTGTAACATCTGCGCTCCACACCAAGCACGCACACAGAGCCAAGGGCCAAGCAAGTCTCATCATTCATAGTATTTAAAAAGAAAACCCCCCAAAAAATATTTTTTAAAAAAATTATCTATTAATAATAATAATTATAGAAACACATTAATTACATTAATGTATACTAGATTTTTGGATCTACTTCGATGGAGTGGAGCAGAGGGAGAGAAGGCCTGCAAAAAACAAAGAACCAAACAATAGTCGTGTGCTAACTATTGTTGCCCTCTTTCTTTCTTTCTAGTTTCTATCCCCTCGCCCTTCTCTTTCTCTCCCCCAAAAAGAAAGTACAACAAAACGAAATAAAACTGCCCTCCTCCCAGCCCCAGCCCCAGCCTCAGCCTTAGCCTTCTCATTTCATTTCCTCCTCTACATCTTCGACCATGCGAATCAGAAAACATGCAAAAATTTCCCCTCTTTTATACGCTGCTTCGTCTCTAAAACCCGGCACAGTTATCCAAACCCACGTCTGCCAGCTCAACCAGTCGCCATGGGATGTCATGACCTTCCCTCCACCAGACCCATCTACGCTTCCTCCACCTCCCGCCTTTCTGGTTAGTTTCTGAATCTCTCCTTCTTACCATATTCCACTCCAATAATCACACGCCGCAGATCCAAAACAGCAGCCCTCTCTATTCTTTTCTACATTTTTACTTTTTTTTTTTTTTCTCCTTGCCTTGCCTTCTGGGTCTAGGGTTTTCTCCAAAACTTCCGTTAGGGTTGTTTTTGAAACAGTAAATCCCACCATTTCTCTCGTTTCTTAAGGTTTAGATAGTAAATTTGTCTTGCGGATCTTCTGCTTGTTGCTTTTTATTCCGAGCTGATACATGCTTTCGCATTTTCTTTTTAATGCCTTGGCAGGTCGATAAAGATCACAGCTATTTTCCAAATGGGTTCTTCTCGGATCACATTGCAGCTGACCAGAGGTTAGTTTTATGCCCTTTTACGAATTCGAATTAATTTTGGAGATTGTTTTAGCATTTTTCGTTTTGCTAAGGAAGGAATAATTAGGGTTTCCGTTGTCCGATGCCAAATCTGCAATATTTCCAAATAGCGTAAATTTTAGCTTTGATGATTGAAAATTTCAAACTCAACTCGAGCGTTTTGGTCGCGTTTTCATCGGTGGGGTTTTCGTGAATTATATTCTCAGACCTGGGCCCAAGGTGAAACTGGACGATATCGCGGCCGGGGGCAAGTTTGAGCAAAAGGAATCATTAAGGTCGAAGAAAGAAGAAGAGGATGAGGTTTTCGACTGCAAGATCGACGGAAAGGGCTGGCAACGCAGGAAAAAGGTGAAAAACGAGCAACCCTTTTGCCAGAGACACTTAGCTCCTCAACCTTCGGCTTCGGTGAAAAAATCCGAGAGTGGCCGCCGGGCTCGACCCAAGAAACCAGCATCATCGTCGAATCCTTACGAGTTTTACTACTATTCGGGGTTCGGACCTCGGTGGGGGAAGAAAAGAGGTGCTGCTGCTGCTGCTGCTACTGTTGCTGCTATGAAAGAAGAACCCTATACGAGTCACGATAGTAGCAGTGAGAATACATCAAGTAGAAACAACAACAGCAGCATTATCGAGGTTGATGCAGCTGAGGGGCCTAATACTCCTGAGCCTAGCGTTAAATCCTCCCCTTTTACCTCTCAATTTCATAAGCAAGTACTCGACTATGTTGAGGATGATGATGAAGACGATTACGATAACTACAGCAAACTTGATGATGACGAAAATGGAGAAATGGGAAGGAAGAGAGCCCGGAAGCCGATTAAGGCTAGGTCTTTGAAGTCTCTAATGTGAGTGAGAGGAATAATATGCTGCTACA